ATGGTGTCCATAGGGGGTAGCCACTTTTAGTCTGCTGCTGGATTTCTAATGCAGGGAGGAGGATTTTCTGCCTTAAGTTGTGCTGGGAAATTCTCCCAGAAACATACCAGTGTATTAAGTTGGAGGAAACTACCTGCAGAGCGTTAGCTTAGAGGGTCTTGTAATAGTCCCTGTGAAATTGTTGTCTGAGATCTTGCCTTGTCAGTCATCAATTGAGTATAAGCTTACAGGATGTTAAAGGGACCACCTCTGTGTCTTGGGTTGACATAAGACTGTCTATTCCTCCTAAGACCAGGTTGCTTACTGAATGACTGAATCACTGATGACAGAAGCTCAGGGTTTATGTGACAGTTTATAAGAAAAGTTCTACATCATCAGTTTTTGCCTGTTCTGATGGTTACAGAGGGCCTTGCTATTGCTCCCTCCCTAGAAAAGGCTAGAATTAGATGCATAATAAGCATCGCTACCCTATCGCCCTGAGGGAGAAGTACAAGGTAGGTGAGACAGGATATAAAACAAAGTTCTACCCCAAAGCATGTTGCCGCTCTGGTGGGTAGGGAGGAGGATGCAGGTGTCACTGAAGGGGCATTTGAAAGTACTGGGGTTTGAACTCAGGGCCTCGTGCTTGCTAGGTAAGTACTCCCCCGTTGAATCATATACCTTCTATCAAGTATCTGTAAGTCTGGCACACTGCTATTCTGGATGTGCTGAGGATCTAGAGGTGTGGTTTTTCTCTTTGACTGGGTTCCTTTTCCAGAGTGGTGGAATTAGGGAGTTCAGGTCTTTTGTATTGGGCTGTTGAGGAACCCCCCCCCCCAGTACTTTCTGTGTCTGGTATTTCACACGTGTGCATTTAGCTTAGAGGGCACTCCAAAAAATAAAAAGAAAGGAAAAAATGGTGGGTGGGGAATGACAAGGGAACTTTGGTCCTGTCATGAAAGCTTTCCCCCACTGCTCCTTCTGACTGCAGTTTGTTCCTTGCTTCTTGTTTTAGATATTTGGGATTTAATATTTTGTTTTTCACTTTTCTCTCTATATACATTTTCTTTTTTCTTTTTTTTGTCGATCATAGGGTTTGAACTTGGCCAGGGCACTGTCCCTGAGCTCCTTCAACTCAAGGATAGTGCTCTACCACTTGAGCCACAGCACCACTTCCGGATTTCTGGTGGTTTATTAGAGATAAGAGTTCACAGCCTTTCCTGCCCAGGCTGGCTTTGAACCACAATCCTCTGATCTCAGCCTCCTAAGTAGCTAGGATTACAGGCATGAGGCACCGGCACCTGGCTCCATATACATTTTCTTGTGTCTTCACCTAAGTCTTTCTTTTGAGCCATACCTCTGTTACAGGTGTGCAGTTGGGGGGTGATAGAAGAGTGGTTGTTAGAAGTTTGTCATCTTGGCTCCTGGAATCTGTGTGTGTATGTGTGTGTATGTGTGTGTGCGTGTGTGTGCGCGCGCGTGCGCACACTGGTCTTCCGGCTTGAACTCAGGGCTTTTTTCCTCAGGCATAATGTTCTACCACTTGAGCTACAGCTCCATTTCTGGCTTTTTTGTGTACTTGGAGATAAGTCTCAGACTTTCTTGCTCAGACTGGCTTCCAGATACAATCCTTAGATCTCAGCCTTCTGAAGTAGCTAGGATTATAGTCATGAGCCATAATTGACAGGCTGGAAACTTTTTTAATGTATATATGTATACTTGGGTATATGTATATATGTGTTCATATATACACATACAAACATAAAACATGTAATATATTATAAAACATACACACACACACACACACACACACACACATATATATATATATATATATATATATATATATATATATCTTCTGGTGGTATTAGAGTTTGAACTCAGGGCCTGACATTTGCTAAGCTAGTACTCTACCATTTGAGCCAAGCCTTCAGCCTGGCATTTTGCTAGTTGGAGATTAGAGTCTAGAGATTTTTCCTTCCTAAGCTAGGCAGAGTCTAGAGAATTTTCCTTCCTGGGCCAGGCTCAATCCACCATCTTTTAGATCTCTCAATCTGGCCATTAATATGCTTGTTTGTTTCTGTTTTTTTTTTTTTTAGTTTGACCCTACAAGTATTTCAAAGGTTATTTTTTTAGTATGAACCATACTCCATTTTTTGTTGTTGTTGGTTGTGGAGCTTGAACTCATGGCCTGGGAGTTGTCCCTGGGCCTCTTTGTGATCAAGGCTAGTGCTCTGCCACTTGAGCCACAGCACCACTTCCTGTTTTCTGGTGGTTTATTGGAGATAATAGTTTCACAGTCTTTCCTGCCCAGGCTGTCTTTGAACCATGGCCCTCAGATCTCAGCTTCCTGAGTAGGTAGGATCGCAGGTATGAGCTACCGGCGCCCTGCTCCATTCATTTTTAGTACTGAATAAGTTTGTTTATAAGTTCATTAGTAAATGTACATTTGGATTTTTCACTTTTTCTATTGTGTATAGTGCTACTGTGAACACTTCTTCCATTCATTTTGTTTGAGTACCTATTTTTGCTTTTTTTGGCAGTACTGGGCTTTGTGTTTGCTAGATAAGTACCCCCCTACCCCACTGAACCACACCTCTTAAGCCCTTTATTGTATTTTGAAACAGGAACTCACTTTTTGCCCAATTATAGATTTGGTGTAATTTTCCTATTTTAGGAGTCCCGTTGTATTTGGGATACTTCTGCTTTTTCCTTTTTTGTTGGTCAGGGGGCTTGAATTCAGAGCCTAGGTGCCATCCCTGAGCTTTTTGGGTGAAGATTATGGCTCTACCACTTTAAGCCACAACTCCACTTTCAGTTTTCTGGTAAGTGTCTCATGGCCTCTTCTGCCTGGGCTGGCTTCGAACCATGATCCTCAGATCTCAGCCTCCTGAGTAACTATATTACAGGTAAAAGCCACCAGTGTCTGGCTTGGGATACTTCTTTTGATGGACCCTCACTGCATTATTTTAAAAAGCTTCTATTTGGGGCTGGGAAGTTGGCCCAGTGGTAGAGCGCTTGCCTTGCATGCCTGAGGCCCTGGGTTCTATTCCTCAGCACCACATAAGCAAAAAGAAAAAAAAAAGCCGGAAGTGGCGCTGTGGCTCAAGTGGTAGAGTGCTAGCCTTGAGCTGAAGAGCTGAGGGACAGCGCCCAGGCCCAGAGTTCAGGCCCCACGACCGGACCAAAAAAAAAAAAAGCTTCTATTTACTTAATTTATTCAATAAATATTTAATGGGTATCCAGTCTGTGCCAAACACTTTCTAGGTAGTTTTGTTCTAACAAGATGTGTCAGATAGTGCCAGAGTGACATGTAATCCAAACCAAAATTTTTGTGTTATGAAAAATTAAACACTTTATTAAGCACTTACTGGCAGAGTTCTGGAGATCAGCTGAGAGCTGATTAGAAGAGCTCTATTGGCAACTGATTCAGGTTGAGGTGCTTCTGCTTTGTTTGCTAGGGTAGGTGGGTCTCATATATTTCTTAGTTCTTGAACCTGGGGACTGGGCTTATTATTTTTTTTGGGTCCGGTCGTGGGGCCTGAACTCTGGGCCTGGGTGCTGTCCTTCAGCTCTTCAGCTCAAGGCATGCGCTCTACCACTTGAGCCACAGCGCCACTTCTGGCTTTTTTCTTATGTGGTGCTGAGGAATCGAACCCAGGGCCTGGAGCATGCAAGGCAAGTGCTCTACCACTGAGCCACCTTCCCAGCCCCCTGGGCTTATTTTTCTTGTGTCTTCTCTCATGACAGTGACAATATCACAACAGGGGACATGTCCAATTTGGGGTATATGGTTAGCCAGAGCAAGTCTCATGGCTGAGTTCAGAGATCAGATGTGAAAATGAGTTCTGTTTATTTGTGTATGAAATTTCAGAGTTCATGACAAAGGCTGAACATTAGGCTCAGAAATTTAGTTTGTGAGAAATACAGATAAAGAAAAGCAGACATAATACATAGGTAGATTATCAAATATATTAAGTGATAAATCATATTGCAAAGAACAAAGTAAGTCCTAGAGGATAGTATGAAAATAATGCTAATGTGCAGGTAGGAATGAGAACCATAGTTTTTATTTTTATTATTTAATGTTGGTTGTGAGGTTTGAACTCAGAGCCTGGGCACTGTCCCTGAGCCTCTTTATGCTCAAGTCTAGTGCTCTACCAATTGAGCCATAGCTCCACTTCTGTTTTTTGAGTGGTTAATTAAAAATAGAGTTTCAGGGGCCAGGCACCGGTGGCAAACACCTATAATCCTAGCTGCTCAGGAGGCTGAGATCTGAGGATCACGGTTCAAAGCCAGCCTGGGCAGGAAAGTCCAGGAGACTCTTATCTCCAAGAAACCACCAGTAGGGCTGGGAAGGTAGCTCAGTGGTAGAGCGCCTGCCTTGCATGCATGAGGCCCTGGGTTTGATTCCCCAGTACCACATAAGCAAAAAGAAAAAAAGCCGGAAATGGCACTGTGGCTCAAGTGGTAGAGCACTAGCCTTGAGCTGAAGAGCTGAGGGACAGCGCCCAGGCCTAGAGTTCAGGTCCCACGACCGGACCCCCCCCCAAAAAAAAAAGAAAAAAAAAGAAAGAAACCACCAGTAGAGTGCTCGCCTTGAGCAGAAAAGCTTAGGGACAGTGCCCAAGCTCAGAGTTAAAGCCCCACAACCGACAAAAAAAAAAAAAGAATCTCATGGGGACTTTACTGCCTGGGATGGCTTGGAACCAAGATTCTCAGATCTCAGCCTCCTGAGTAGCTAGGATTACAGGTGTGAGTCACTGACACCCAGCTGAGAACCATGGTTTTAATAGTGGGAAACCTAGAAAGAGATCTGGCTTAGCATTTCTTCAGCCATTTTGAAAATATTTAAACAGATCTGGGAAAGAAAAGAATCTTCCTCAAAGTTGATGGCAGATACAAACAGACCTACAGCCTAATAAGCCTCTTCAACTTTTAGACTATTGTCCTTTTATGAAGGGTACCCGAAATACTTTGTGTAATGGCATTACAGTCATTATTTGTGTTGTGTATTACAGGTTTCTCCATTTTCTGAGATGTGTAGTCAGAAGAAAAGAAAAGATATGGAAGCTGCTTGTACCTGGAGTTTATTGTCTGAGAAGAAATGTAAGTAATTTCAAATAAGAGTGGGTATAACCTTAAATTCTACTGCTTCTCCGCATGGCCTCTGGGATTCTTCTGAGTGTTTAAATATTTGCTAAATGTGTATATGCATCATTTGAATATAATATTGACCTGTTAAAAGTTCTTGAAATTGATGCCACAATTTTGGTTTACCCAAAATAATGACAAAGACATATCAGCAAAGTAAAAACTGTGGTTCTAGTGGTTTGCATAATCTCTGAAACATTTGTCATCTTAAGCTACTCTTTTTGTTGTTGTTGGTTGTGAGGCTTAAACTCAGGGCCTGGGCCCTGTCCCTGATCCTTTCTGTTCAAGGCTAGTGTTCTACCACTTTGAGCTACAGCTCTGTTTCTCTAAGGCAGTCTTAAGAGTCTCCCATGACTTGTAACTACAGCTTTTCCACAGAAAAGCAGATTCTTATGGCGAACACAAACCAATTTTTCTCCCTTAGTCTGTCCAATTGCCTGCTCATTTCCAGTGACTATAATGTCTGCCTCGCTGGACCCTGCTTCCTCTTCTCCACCTTTACCTTCCATCTTTTAGTCACAACTCCCCCACCATAGGTCTCATTCTTTACAAGGTGTCCAAGTGGCAACAAATACCTATATGAAGGTAGAGAAGATATGTGTGTGCTTTTTTTTTTCAGTTGTGGGGCTTGACTTTGGCCTGGGAACTGTCCCTGAGCTTCTTTTGCTCAAGGCTAGCACTCTTCGATTTGAACCACAGTGCTACTTCTGGATTTTTCTGTTTATATGGTACTGAGGAGTTGAACCCAGGACTTCATGCATGCAAGGCAATCACTCTACCACGAAGCCACATTCCCAGCTCTGTGCATGAATTTTTTATTTACCCATGTGTGCAAGTGTTTGGAATGAGTGTGTGCATGTATTTGTATAAAGGTCATAGTATGTATTCATTTGGCTAATATTCAGCAATGCTTTATTCTCCTTATTATCAAGAAGCCTCAACAGAAGCAACAATGGAAAGAAAAGTACCAGAAAAGTCACTTCAAATATTTCTTTTAAGTTCATACCTAAATATTCCTTATTAATTGTGATGGTTAGTATGGTTGCCAACTTTATTGGATTGAGAGATTCCTAACAAAATACTAAAGCATGCTTCTGGGTGGGTTTGTGAGGGTGTTTCCAGAGATGATTAAAGGGGCAAGACCTGCCTTCATTGCGGGTGGTAACATCTAGTAGGCCGAGATAACGGGGAAAAAGAAGCCTGAGAAGTGAAGCTGTCCACTCAAAGTGGTAGAGCACCAGCCATAAGCAAATGGAGTCAGAACCTAGGCTGTGGGTTCAAGCCCCATGACTGGTACAAAGAAAAGAAAAGAAGCCTGCTCACACAGGCTTACCGTCTCTTGCTTCTTGGCTGTCCTCCTATGTGCGTTCATCATGATCTTTAGTCTCACCACAGGCCCAGAAACAATGGAGCAAGCTGACCATGGACTGTTAACCTCTGAAATCATGAGCTAAAATAAATCCCCCCTCCTTTTAAAACTGTTTCCCTCAGGTATTTGCCAAAGCTATGAAAATCTGACTAACAAACACAGTTGTATAAATTAAAATGTTCACATCCTAACTATATCTGTAAAGGAAGGTTTTACGCTTTATGTTAGCCATTAGTTATAAAATGCCTCTGTAGATGGCATGTGTGGTGGTACATGCCTGAAATCCCAGCACTTGGGAGGCTAAGGTAGGAGAATTCCAAATTTGAGGTCAGCTTAGACTGCATAGCAAGTTCCAGGCTATCCAAGGCTTACACAGTAAGACCCTGGACAAAAGAAAAGAAAGCAAGAACATTTTATAGGGAAGTTAGAAAAGATATGAGGTGATGATGTACTTTTTCATGGTTATTTCTGAGGCATGCAATGAAAGTATCTGTTTATGTCCTGTTTCGGTATGAAGGTATATTCATGCTATTCCCAATTTCTTTTCCTCTCACACACAGCTGCTTCAAGTTCTCTGGCTTCCTGTTCAATGAAGGATCCTACAGGTACGTATCTTTTTGTTGTTTTTAAAAAAATATTTTTATTGTTTTAAGTAGTTGTAAAAAGGAGTTGCCACTTACCAAAGCAGTTATGTCACCCCTTTCAGCATTCTCACCCAACCTTGCCAAATCACCCCTTCCCTCACTTTTCTTTTTTTTTGGGTCCAGTTGTGGGGCCTGAACTCTGGGCCTGGGCGCTGTCCCTCAGCTCTTCAGCTCAAGGCTAGTGCTCTACCACTTGAGCCGCAGTGCCACTTCCAGCTTTTTTCTTATGTGGTGCTGAAGAATCGAACCCAGGGCCTCATGCATGCAAGGCAAGTGCTCTATCACTGAGCCACCTTCCCAGGCCCTTCCCTCACTTTCCTTTTTTTTTGGGGGGGGTCCGGTTTTGGGGCCTGAACTCTAGGCCTGGGTGCTGTCCCTCAGCTCTTCAGCTCAAGGCTAGCGCTCTACCACTTGAGCCACAGCTCCACTTCCGGCTTTTTTCTTTTTGCTTATGT